GTATAGTTAATTGTGCATCGCGCTTTTGTGCTGTTCGATTTATATTTATCGATAAAAATGATTGATTATTTAAACCATTTTTTATGTTTACTAGTGGTGGTGGTGGTGGTTGTTGTTCTGCATTGAGTGAATTAACTGCTGGTACTGCCATTGTTGAAGCAAATGTATTTGGTTGTTTTATTGGATTAATGCGAGAATGTTTTCGAGGAACATTTCGTAAAACTAACGAACCAAATACAATCATCACTATAGCTGGTGTTAGAATTTCCAAAAGAAATTGTAATAAACTATCCGCAATTTGACATGCAATATTTCGTTTTAATTGATAACATGATTGTGGTGCTCCTAGTAATTGTTGATTAATATCAATACAATAAATTTGTTCACCAAATGCTAGAAAACCTGCTATTAAAATGGTAATAATAGAAATATAAGCACGTTTAATTGTTACAAGTTGACGTATTTGAACATTTCTTGATGAACAAAGATATCGTTCAACACAAGCTAAACTTATAAACCAAGCACCACTATATGCCGAATAATATGTTACGAAAAATCTCATTTTACAAAATCCACTTGAATATTGCGTTGGATCAACATTAAATCCAGTAAGAAGACGAGTAACAAGGCCAATACCAAGAGAAAATGAATCCGATATAGTTGATGCCAAAAAATAAATGACACAAATATTAGTACGAAAGGCTTGACGAGTAAAGATAAAGATATTTAAAATATTGCCAATTATACCAAACAAAAGAAGAGGAATTGGAACATAACGATTAATTGTTTGATTTATGAAAGCAAAATTTATTGATGAAGTATTACTCATATTATCTACAAAGGAAAAAAATTAAACTAGAAAAGATTCTCTTCTGCAGAAAAAAATATTTGATAAATATCGAGATTGATGATGACGAAGTTTCTATATACTAGTGCTCATTTCATCGCTTTTGACAACTCGCAGCATGATTATTATCCTCTACGTCAACAAATAAACGCCATGTCATGTCTTCTTCTCTTTCTGATGCTTGGATGTATCTAATTTCTCCTATTATGTTTTTGCGTAGAAATTTTTTTGAGAAATCTTTTCATATGAATTTTTGTTTCATTTGTTTGT